GCGGTCCCTGTGCTTTGCTAAGCTTGTTCTAAGTAGGTGCTTTAGACCACTGAGCCATCTCACCAGCCCAGCTATTTCTTTAAAAACTGAAAAATAAGGATGGGAGTATAGTTCAGTGGTCCTTTGTACTTTATGTAGTGCAAACCCTGGGATCAATCCCCAGCACCATATGAAAAAACAAGAATAAAAATAGAATTACCAGCTGGGTGTTGTGTTGCTCACCTGTAATCCCAACACTTGAGAAGCTAGGTAGGAGAATCACCACTGTTTGAGGCCAGCTTGAGCTACATAGTGAGTTCAAGGCCAACCTGGGTTACATTAAAAAATAAATAAAAGAATTACCTTATGATCCAGCAATTCCTATTGGGTATTTATTAAAAACAGATGAAATTAATATGTCCAAGAGATATGTACACCCCTCTGTTTCTTTGTTTCTTGGTGCACTAATTATATCTAAGACATGGAATCAATCAACATGTCCATGAACAGAGGAATAGAGAAGGAAAATGTAAGCTACATATTTATGTATGTGAAGACTATTTGGCCCAAAAAAAAGAATGAAATCCTGTAATTTATAGCAGCATGAATGGACGTGGTGGTTATTATGTTAAGTGACATAAGTCCAGTACAGAAAGATAAATGCCACATGTTCTCACCAATTTGTAGACATTAAGAAGCCCATCTCATAGAGATAACAAGAGACTGGGAAGTATAGGTGGGTAGAAGGGGTAGAAAAAGTTACATAAGAGGCACCAAACCCTAGTCCAATGAAGAGGAATTAATCAGGATTATCTATAGCATAGTTGGGCAACTATTGATTAAAACAATCTATATTTCAAAATAAATGGAAGAGTACAAAATTCCTAACACATGAAAATGATTAATGTGCCAGTCATGGTAGTGCACATCTATAATCCCAGCACTCGGGAAGCAGGGGTTTTGCTGTGAGTTTGAGGGCAGCCTGGGATACATAGCGAGTTCAAGGCCAGCTTGAACTACATAGCAAGAACCTGTCTCAAAAAATAAAACAAAAAAATAATGTCTGAGAAAATGGAAGTGTTTATAACCCTGATTTGATCATTATACATTGTATGCAAATATCATATTATCATAATGTACCCCATAAAAAAGTACCAGTGTTAGTTTAAAAATAATTATATCAGGGAGGAGGATCACAAGTTTAAACCCAGCCCGGGAAACTTAACAATTAGAAAGACCTTGTCTCAAGATAAAAAATAAGAAAGGGATGGAGACTCTAGGATGGATCCCCAGTACCCCCCCACAAATATCAATCTCATCTGAGCAACTCCCTGCTCAATTTCACTGAATCCCCATTAACCATAAGACAAAGCCTCAATTTTCTTTGTCTCTATCCCTAACTTTCTCTCTCTCTCTCTCTCTCTCTCTCTCTCTCTCTCTCTCTCTCTCTCTCTCTCTCTCTTTTTCGTTCCTGGGAATTGAACCCAGGACTTTCTCACTGAGCTGTGTCACCAGCCTTTTCATATTGTTTGTTTTGATACAGGATCTTATTAAGTTGCAAAATTGCCCAAGCTGGGCTTGAACTTGTCATCCTCCTGCCTCAACATCCCAGATGGTAGGGATTACAGCAAAAATCTCTTGTCCCATTTCAGATCCTTAGCTCCATCCAACTTAGCTTAATGAACATCATAAAATTCTGTTTCTGTAACTGTCTCTGTCTCTCTGTCTGTCTCTCTGTCTCTCTCTGTCTCTGTCTCTGTCTCTCTCCGTCTCTGTCTGTCTGTCTGTCTTTCTGTCTCTCTCTCTCTCTCACTCTCTGACAGCATCTCACTATGTAACTCAAGCTGGTCTTAAACTCACTACAATCCTCCTGCCTCAGCCTGAGTGCTAGGATTACAGGTGTGTGCCACCACATCCAGCTCCATACTGGGGCTCAAAAAATCAGTATCAACATGTGCAGGGGGTCAACCTACAAGCTTGTACCTGACCAAGGGACAACAAAGATGAAATACAAAGAGACACAGAATAGGTTGAAGTGTGGGTGGCCTAGGGGCTCTTATCTCCCTTTGACAAAGAGCCCCAAGTGACTGGTGCACTTTCACTCAGATACAGGCACAATCAGAATGAAACAGGATTCATCTATCTCCCACCATCCATAGCACACATCCGAGTAAATAGAGGATCTCAGCTGTGTTGATTTTTCCTGCAACATCTCAGCACACACTCATCCAATGTTCACATAAGAGGCCAGTTAAGCCCTAATCTTCCTATCTGGCCTCATAAGAAAAGCCACTACACTCTCAGGCCCTCTCCCTCTTTGAGAGAAGGTTTTGCTAAATTGCCCAGGCTGGCCTTGGAATTGAACTTGTGATCCTCTTGCTTCAGCCTCCCATATATGCACAACCACACCCAGCTTACATATGTACCACACTCTGAGGCTCCAGGCGCTAGTCTGCATGGTGCAGTCTGTGCACTGTACCACAGCAGGTTAAGTGGAGATCAAGTCCAAGCCACCTTCCACTAGAGAGGCCAGCCTGGGAGTGGTGTTTTTGTATGACTTGTTTGCCCAGGATGTCCCTTTTGTATAGATACACAAAAGCAACTTCTGAGTTTGCTTCAAATCATCCTTCTTTGCTGTTAATGACATCATTACAATGCCAAACTCCTTTAACTCCCTTGAGCGTCTTCTGCTTCTTTTTTTTTTTTTTTCAGAACCAGGGACTGAACTCAGGCCCTTGTGCTTGCCAGGGAAGCGCTTATTCTACTTAGCCATCTCCCCGGCCCCCTCCCTTGAGCTTCTTCATAAAACCTATGCATTCTACCACTGAGCTACACTCCTAACCCTTTCTTAATTTATTTTTTTTACACATTCTCTCACTATGTAATTCAGGTTGGGCTTGAACTGTGTAGCCCAGGCTGGCATTGAACTTGAAGTGATCCTTCTGCCTCAGACCCCTGAGTGCTGGAATTACAGGTGTGTGCCAGCACATCTGGCTTCTGTTTTAAATTAATGCAACTTACTTGCCACCTAACCAATCAGTATGGTTTTGTGTTATTTTGGGTAGGTTTGGTTGCTATTTAACTAACTTATTTAACTTTGAGTTTATGTTTGCCCAAACCAGTGTGTAAGTTCATTAAAGACAGAACAAATAGTATATACTTTGTGTCCCTCTAAATTTCCCTAAATAAGAGCTGGGGAGATAGCTCAGTAGAATAAGCACTTGCCTGGCAAATGCAGGGTCCTGAGTTCAAGCCCCAGTACTACAAAAAAAAAAAAAAAATCCCTAAACAGTGTCAGATACACAACAGTATGATTAGTAAACACAGCTGGAACAAATCATACACACAAATACACATCCTGAAGAAGAATCGGACTCAGGCACACTGGTGCAACAAACAAGAAAACAGCACAAAGGAATGAACAACAAGGAAATAGCCTTCTTTCTCAGCACACATCTCCAGTTCCCAGCAAGTGCTGTCAGGCCTAGCTACTGACCTCCTTCATTTTCTTTCCAGTATTTAATGACATATTCTAGATTTCTCAGAAAAGGTAGATGATTGGCTTGGTACCACATTGACTTCAATCTCCTTTCACCATCTATGGGACAGTGCTGCACAATCAGCTGATGCTGGAAATGCCAGCGAAAGATATTTGCCATGAAGTTATTTTAAGAAAATATTCTTCTGTACTTTTTTCAGAGCTCTGCAAGGACCAGGATGTTCTTGTGTTTTTCCTTTTCCTTGTTTTCCCTGTCTGGGCTTCAGTTGACCTTAAAAACTGTCAAGGGTAGGTGTCCTCTGCAGCCTGTTCTAGAAGATTTCCACTGGTCAGATTGCTTTTCCTCTCTGGCAGCCTGATTGTGTACCTCCCCCTTTCTGAGGTTACATCTTTATAGGATTTGCTAAACCTGCAGTTTAAGTCAATTGCTGCTTTAGCAATGACAAAGCCTACAGACTCATTTTTTATTATAGCCAGGATACAAACCCCATTTTAAAAGGATTATGCACCTTTCAAATATTTTTGACCAGATGTAAGGAGAGGGCTTTGAATTTGGCGAGCCAACCCACAAGCAAAAAATGAACAAAAACCAATATAAATTAGATGACTGCTTTCAAACACATTTGCTGCTATGGATCTCTTTTTATTCTAGGTCTTTAATAGCTCATGTTTTTCACCCCTACCCCAGAATCACAGTTAGATGTTCCTATTGCTTGACTTTTCTTTCAATAGCTCAGGGTTGCCCCCACCCCGAATGTTTTCTCTAGCTTAGAGCCTAGCAAAGGAAAAGACAACCTTAAGGTCCAAGGTGGACCCTTCTTTGGGAACAGCAACAAGATAATATGCAGCAGGGTTTGAGACTGCACTGCAATGTGACTGGAATGAGTAATGGCTTTTCATTCTGTACAGCTTTTTTTCTCCACCTACCAAACGGGGGACTGTGCTATCTCAGCCTTGTGGTGAGATATTACGACACATCCCGATAAATTCACAAAACATCTTGTTTGCGGAGACAACTCTACGCTGTGGCTTTCGTTTTTCATTGGATCCTCAAAGGGAGGATATCAGTGCAAAGACGTCGGCTCTGGAATTTATGGAAAAATCATTTTCACCTAATGGAAACACAGAGAAATTTCCATGTTGAAATACGTGGCTGCCCCCTCGAAAACATCCATAAAAAGACCTGCGGGGCAAATACAGCCTCACAGCCCCCGACTCCTGCCTTCGGCAGCAGTAGGGGGCAGGACTTAGTGCATGGCCACGCCTCTTGCTTCTGGTCCCCAAGGGGCGGCCCCACCCCAGCCGCGGGAGTCGCGGGGAGAGGCAGATTTTGCCCCTCCTTCCCTGCGGGGAGAGCTGAGGGACACTTCTTGCGCCTGCGCACTGCGCCGCTGCGAGCCACCGCTGCCACTGCCCGCCCCCGCCGCCCGCCGCCCGCCGCCCGCTCCAGGGTCCTTTGTGCGCATGCGCACTCTCACTCCCTCGCTTGCTGTGCTTGGCTGAGTCAGTCTGTCGGAGTCTGTCCTCTGAGCAGGCGGAGTGAAGGGGCTTTGCATAGCCAGCTGACCGATTATTGTTTCCCCTCCCTCTCTCCCGCCCCACATCTCTCTTCACCCCACTCCCGCCCTTGCCTGTGCAGCCATGGCGGAGTTGTCGGCGGCCACTCAGTCCCCGTCCGTCTCCTCGTCGTCCTCCGGGGCCGAGCCGCCCGCGCCCAGCGGCGGCGGGAGTCCAGGAGCCTGCCCCACCCTGGGGGCGAAGAGCTGCGGTTCCTCGTGTGCGGGTGAGACGCGCCGGGAGCCCCCGTCTGGGAGAGGGAGAGCATGGAGAGCGGAGTCGGGGCTGAGGGAGCCACGCGGAGGGTGTCAGCCCCCCGGGGACGGACGGCTGTTTCGAAAGTGGGCAAAGAGGGAGGGGAGTGAAAGGTCGAGCGGGCGGCGAGGAAATAACGGGGTGTGGAGAAAACAGGTTGGGGGAGGGGAGGGCGTGAACGCGGGGCCCCGGCAGGTGGGGGGAACGCAGCCTGAGGAGGGTGGGATGCATTGGAGAATTGCTCGGTGCATTGGATGGGCTGTGTTCTGGGAGGTCAGAGAGCCCTCCGCGGAACCTGGGCGGTTTAGTGAAATATTAGTGGGGTTGAGAGGACTGGGGGAGGTGGGTCTTGGGAAAAGAGATACGTTCCGATTTTGAGGGGAGGCTGGTGAAAGGGTTAGGTTGTAGGTTTACAGACAGGTGTTGACATAACCAGATGTGCCTCATACTCCAAAAATTATTTTTATTTGCTTGTGGGGAGAATGAGGAAGTTTAATGAAGGCATTGTAGCTCATTTCTGTACTGTTCTCGACTAAGATTCTGAATGCCCTGTTTTTATGAGGCTTCGAGGTAGAGAAGACGTGATGAGAATAGCTCAGGAAGATTTGGGAGGGAGCCGCTGAAGGTCCAATATGGATTCTTGCGTGGCTACATTTACAATACAGCGAGCTCTTCACAGGCATGGCGTGGGGCTGGGGACACGCAATCAGCCGTTTATATTTTAGAACATAGAGTCAGGATGCCAAGACATCGACGTGTTTTGATTTCATGTTTTCTGTGGGCTGTTATTGATCGCAGTATAACAAAAGCGTGTGTTTACGAGGAAAGGGGGATGGGGAAATTCAGACAAAGCAGGGGCGGGTTGAACCCCCTTCTCCCGCATCTGAAAGACCAGAAGGGAACTTGCAGGCCTGCGATGGTTACCATTGTATGTGCATCTGCTTGCTGGTGGGAGCTGCTTGGCAAGCTCCCCTCGCGCAGAAATCTGCAGTGCAGATGCCTTTCTGAGAAAAATACGCACCACCGACAGGTGGTGGTTCTTAAAGGAATTGAGGCTTTGAAAGAAAAAAAATGCGTTCTATCAAAAGACAGATTTTCTGAGATCTTAAAATGTTTTATTCTCTCCTTTGGCAGATTTTTGAGTTGATTTTTCTAAAGAACATAATATTTTCTGATATATTCTGTTTTTCTAACAATGAATTTCCACCTAAGCACTTTGGTGGCCTGTTGGATTTTTCCAGTGTGGTTATAGCTATTTTCATATAAATACTGTCAGAAGAGGTTTCTGCAGATAAAGGAATGAGGCAGCAGATTTAGAACCTGGATCCCTTTAAGCCAGCAGTATTTCTCCTCCTTTTTTTTTTTTTTTTTTTTTTTTTTTTTTTCATTTTTTTTTTTTTTTTTTTTTTTGGTGGTGTGGGCTAAGGTCCGAATGAACTGCAGCTTTCCTATAACTTAACAGTTTAATCTTTTGGTTTTAATCACTTATCACAGCTTACTTACTGTTGGGTTGACCCCTTTACACATACCTTCTGCTTAGTCTTGTCAGTTTTTTATTCAGTCCTGAGATTTAGGAATCGCCATTTGTGCTCAAGATAAGATGTATGTTAAGTGTTGAGTCATTCTGGGTACCAGGCAGGCTTTTAAAAATTCCTGTCATTTATAAGCAAATGATGGAATCATTCAGTAAAGACTGGGGGTGTACTGGGAATCGAACTCAGGACCTTTGTGCTTGCCAGGAACAACTGACATTTTTACACCTTTAATGCACTGTTGTGAAAAAATTGGATCTTTCAGTGGGCTAGTGAAATAAATACTTTGTTCACAGACACAAACACCACCACCAAAGGATGCTTAATTGGCTTACATATTTAATGCTATAGCATACATAGTACTTCTGTTTATCCTGTATTTCTGGTATTATTTACCCTAGTCACAATTTTTATTTACTATTGAGTTTACCTTACTTTTTTCTCCCTTCTTTATGGTAATTGAGGTATTTTACTGAATTTATATTCTAAAGTGGTATTCTAATAGGTTTGCATTAAACTTTCCTAGTACTATTAGGCCCCTCAATATTTGCTTGTTATTTCTTAGTACAATTTTATTATGGGGATTTATATTAGGCCAACTGTAGGCACTTGGCCACTATTGGCATTTAGAACACTGATACACGTAGAATAGTACTTGATAAATTTTTGTTGCATGAATCATCACATTTACAAGCTGGAAAGGAACACCTGAGAATTATACTAAGTAGATACTTTTTTTTTTCTACTGGGAATCGAACTCATGACCTCACACTTGCCAAGCTGGCACTGTGCCACTGAGCTACATCCCTGGCCCTGAAGTCACCATTTTATTGTAGAAACCCTTCCTGTTGCAAAGTGGCATCTCTGTTTCACAGAGAAGGTGTCTCAGGTTTTGGCACCAAGCAAATAATAAGAGAAAATTTGTTAATCCAAAATTTAACGATTGAGATAGTTGCCGAAATATGTATTGATTGTTTAACACAATCCACAGGTGTTGCTGTCAGCCTTCATCCTCATGTTCTTTTAGCTAAGCTCTTGGTTTTAGTAAGTGATTACTTTGGGTGACCTGCAAAAAACAATTTTGTCTTGACTGACCTGTTCAGTAATTTTAGAAATACTAGTTTCTGCACAAATTATAAAACATGATGGCACACTCTAGTCCATGCAGTCAGCAGGATAGTGCATATAAGGGAAGGAAGTCAGGGCCCACCGTGGCTTCCCAGATTTCTGCCTTTAGGAAACCAGACTTCAAAGGTAGAAATTTGAGCTGGGCATTGTGGCACACATGCATAATCCCAGCACTCAGGGGGCCAAGGCAAAAAGATGACCTGTGATTCTGAGGCCAGCCTGGTCTACACAAGTGAATTAAAGGCCAGCCTGTGCTACAAAGTGAGACCCTAACTCAGGGAGAGAGAAATCTGCAGTGCAAAGGGAAAGAGAGAGGGGAGGGGGGAGGGGGAAGCTGGGGAGAGAGAAATTTGAGGTCCAGAGGGAAGAGACTGAGATATTTAGTGTTCTTTTTCAGAAAATAAATTGCCCTTTGAGATACCAAGTCTAGACACATGTAGATTATCTGAACTTCGAAAGTATTTTAATAGCTTACTGTTTGTATAACATTCTGATTTTTTTTTTTTTTTTTCTTTCTCTGATGTTAGGAATCAAACCAGGGCCTATGCCTGCCAGGGAAGGGCTGTGCCACTGAGCCATACTCCCAGCACGTTGACTAACTTGTCAGAGACTGCTCTTAGGAAAATCATGATGCCAAAATAAGGCTATGTTTCATTTTTCTGTTCATGGAAGTTACCTCAAAGCAAAAGAGTTTGGACAATTTAAGGGGGAAAAAAAGGTTTTGTTTTAAATATTTTTTGCTTATTCTTTGAATTTAGTTCTGTATTCTTTTTAAGGCATCAGTTTACCTCTATGCTAATAGCCAATCAGATGTAACCATGTAACTTGTATTTTTCATCATAACCTTAAATTAAAAGGAATTTGACCATTCAATGCTGACATCATCTATGTATTATACTCATGTCAAGATTAGCAGTGGCTGTGTCATATGGTGATAAACATATGTCATAATCCACAGAGACATCTATATTTTAGTCCTGGTTTTGTTTTTTAATTGTGTGACCTGTGTAAATCCTGAGCCTCATTTTCTTAAGTTTAGTATGGTGATTATAGTATCTAAGGGGGATAATAATTGGTGTGAAAATTAAACACATGTAAAGGGCTTTTGCCCATAGTAAGTGTTTAGTAAATAATAGTACCATTAAAGTGAAGGAAAAGTCGAGATTATGAGACCTAGACACATTTCCTTCACATCCTTAAAATAATGCCTAGGCTAGGGATGTAGCTCTATGGTAAAAGCCTTGCTATGGGTTCCATTCCCCAATACCAAAAACAAAACAAAACCCTAATGCCTACTATTTGATACTTTTGCAAGATGTGAGAAATCACAATTTTCCTTAAAATAGAAGATTCTTTATACTTTTTTGTTTTAATCCCACAAGCAACTCTGTTTCACCTTTTCACCCTTAACATTAATATCGTAGAGCTGCCATCCCTTTCCACTTGAGTGATTTGTTAAAGGTTGGGGGGCAAGATGTTTCCTAACTGCCTTGGTATGACAGCAGTATGTTTAAATGTCCTCTAAAGCATTCCAACCATAATAAATAATAGTTGTGAAAGATTATTAATGTTTTTCAATGTGAAAGCAAGAGTGCAAGAGTTAGTAAGGGGGCCAAGGATTAGCTTAGTAGTGCAGCACCTGCCTTGTGAGTCCCATTACTTCCCACAGAAAAAAAAAAAGATAGTAAGAATAGTTGTATTAATACAGTCTGTAAATGTTCAATGACTGACTTTTATTTATCAGAAATTAAAGTTTTGGTGAAAGCTGTTACTTCTTAAGAGTCAAGTTCCCAAGTAATTTAACCAGTCTGATCAGATTAAACAAGTACCCTTCAAGTATTTAGCAGGTGCACCTTAACCCTAAATTGGTATCTCAGAGGGGTTGTTGATAAAGTTGCTGGTAAGAGCATGAGTGTTTTTATTTTTAGTATTTTAGAGATGATTAAAAAAAGAATAATATAAATATTACTTTTGTTGAATTCTATAAGGAAATTATTAGTCCTCTGATACAAGAATCACCTGTCTGTCTAATCCAGTATATGTTTCAAGCACTTACAAAATAAAATTTGCCACTGAAAGAATTGGTAACATGTCATAAAGGGTAAGTTAAGATTTCTAGTTCATGTGAGCTAAGAGTTAAGTTTCCTGTAGACAAAGACTTCTCTTGGGGCGGAGGAGATGGCTCTGTGGAATAAGCCCTTCACTGGCAAGCGCAAGGGCCTGAGTTCAATCCCTGGTTCCAAAAAGAAAAGAAAAGAAAAGAAAAGAAAAATATTTCTCTTTAGCTGTAGCCCAGAATTCGTTGTTTTAA